AACCAGGGAGGTGACTGCAGAGATGAGGAGGCAAGAGCTCGGGGTTAACGCCTGGCTCAGCCACTCCGACGAACTTAAGCAAATGACCGCCTTCCAGTATTTTATTTTCACGTCCGAAGAGCGAGGACCAGCCCGGTCTTAATCTGGTTTGCTTTATGGATTAAATGATATTATGGCTGTCCCTTAAACACTACACAAAGTTATACAACTGAAAGGTATTATTAGAGATCACGGAGAAGTTAGTCCGTGGACCGGCCACCACGGGAGGGGGTCTGGGCAAGCGCCCGCGGAGCCGAGGCCCGAGCGGGCGTTGCGCGCTCCCCACCCCCCCGCCCCCGCCCCCGGTCCCGGTCCCGGTCCCAACGCCCGGCCGCCCCGCCGCGCGCCCCCAGCCACGCGCTCGGCGCGGGCAACGGACACGGGAGCGGCGCAGGCGGACCAGCGCGGATCTGCAAGCCTCCTTCAGGACCAAGTGAACAAGGGTTGGGGTTAGGGTTAGGGTTAGGAAACTAACAGTGTAAGAATAAAGAAACATATCCGAGCAATCCTTTATAAAAAGCAGTGTGTGTGTCTGGGTAGGGGCCAGCCCTGAGAGTGGAAAAAGGCAGCACACAAGGTCAAGGTAGGATTAGAGCACGTCGCACCCAGAAATGCCTTCGGCGGTGATGGAAGTTACCCTCCTCATTTCATAATGATCCACAGGAGATCCCGAGGGGTCAAATGAATGGCTATGGCCCCTCAGAAAATGAATATCAGAAACATCTGATTCCCATGCCAAAGGGTGCCTCCATATCAGACAAATAATAGCCACATGAAATGTCTGATATAATTAGGACGGACAAGATATACAAATGGCTTAAGTAGAAAATAAGACAACATGGAACAAAATTTTAAAGCTCAAAAAAAAAAATGGTGACTGGTGATAGCTAGATGAGGTGATGAGTATGTTAATTAGCCTGGCTAGTAGTCGTGGTGAAATGAATATACATATCAAAACATCATGGATTGAACTGAAATTATTTAACAATAAGCGTTTATTGGACACTTCCAAATTCTACAAAGTTGTAGGAGCTTTGGGGAGGTTATGAGAAATAGGCAAGTCCTATAAATTTTTGACATCCTAAATATTTCTCAACCTGTTCTCTGCTATATATATCTCCTCTGCCAGTGCATTCAGATCACAATCAGTTCTCACCTCATTTATGCAATAACATTGCATCTGGTTCCTAAGTTTCTCTGCTTCTTGTCGCTCCCTTCTCCAATCTCCTGTTTCACCTCTCACACAATTGGAATTACTTTTCAAACACACAAATCTGCTTTATACCTCTAGACAATCCTTCACAGGCTCTCTTTAGCCTACAAAGACCAAACTACTCTGTCTGGCATACAAAACCCTTCTGGTCTTGGCTCCTGCTTACCTGTAGTTACTCCCAAACCAAAATCGAATCCCATCCAGGCCTATTTTTTAGGCCCCATTTTCTTTCATGCCCCAAAGTTGCTCAGCTTACTTCAACCCGCAGAACCTCTTACTCATCCTTCAAAACTCTTTCCTTTCTGGTGACCTCAGCTATGTTCCCTCTAGAATCTTTTCACGTATATCTAATATAGCACTTTCAGAGGTATCACAACGGACTGTCAAGTCTGCTTTTCCTGCTGAGCTTTGTAATGCTAGAGGCAGTGTGTGAGTGAGGTCTTCCCTCTCATCTCCCAACCCTCACTCTCAGACTTGAGGTCAAGAGAAGTGCTGTGAGGAGTTACAATCACCAGGATAGCGAATTAGGGTTCTGGAAAATAAAAAAAAGAGGAAAAAGAAAGGTAACATGGCCTTGCCAAGATGGCAGGAAAAGGAAGTTCATCAGGAGACAGTTACTTATGCAACAGGAAAGGCTTTCAACACTAAAAAAGGTCAAAATCTATTTTCCTTTTTAGGGAAAAACAACACTAAAGTTATCCAGATCTTTTGAATTTGAGCAGATTCCCCCTGCTCTCAAGTCTCAAGTAGGATGATCCCTTTTACTATGCGGTGACTTGGAATTGGAGAAACCCAGCCTCAGGGGCTGGCCAAGGGAATTTAAGAATTAACCTCCCTTTGTGCCTTAATATTTTAGCTGGAGAATGACAGATTTGATGTTAAATTTCCAGAAAGTGAGTTAAAACCACAAAATTATGGACAAGTGGAAACCTCCAGGATAACAGGCCATTAGGACCAGAAAAGTCTTTTGGAAACACCTGGTTGTAACCCAACCACGAAGTTACCTGGGTGGCTGACACTAAAACATGCTCTGCTCTATGGGGCCTTCCCAAGTAGATGGCACCAGGAAATAGGTTTTGCAATATTAAGGCCCAGAAAGCCATTTATTTTCTGATTGTGAAATGAACACAAGACAAAATTATTTCAGTCTAAATAGAATTTAGTTTTTAAACAGCAATCATTAAAACGTAAGGAAAAACATTTTATTCATTTACTTAAGTTTCCAAGACCCTGTCTGGTTCTCAGCTGGATTAATGTTGTTCTATGATCCTCCTAAGGTGTGGTCATTGGCTCTCAGGTGAGGCAGCCCTCAAGCTCAGAGAGGCCCTGGGTTACCTCTTAGGAAGTGGCCAGCATGCGATCGGAACCCAGGCCTCACCTTCGGTTTGAGACTTTTCTGGACGCTATGGTTTAATCTCTTCAAACACCGATGCAAATAAGTATTTTTATTTTTTAGGGAGAATCTAAGGAATGGGAAGCAGAGTAAAATGTATCGGGGTATGACCCCATTTTTCATTTATTCAGAGGACAGTCTGGGAGATCATTTACCACAGTACTTCCCTAAATCCCCGGTTACAATAAGAGAATTAACAATGCAAAATGGCTATGGGAGGCTCCACAAAGTTGTTAATGAGGCGGATGCCCGGAGAGAGACACGCCAGGGCCTGGGGCCCCGTTTCTATCGGGGCTTTAATAACCGGGGCGGCGCAGAGGCAGCAGCAGCCCCTCGCGCGGCTCTCGCTGTTCCAGACACTTCCTTCGCCCGCGTGGCTGTGGCTCGCTCTCCACACTCCACTCGTTTGTAGCTCAATGTGTGCCTCGCTCCCGGGCCCCCCCCCCCCCCCCCCCCCCCCGACACAAAACACGCCCGTAAAGGCAGAGACGGGGTTCTGGTTATTGGACCTACAAAGCTGGTTACCCTTTGTAGGAGGCGGCCGCCCGGGGTTCCTCTTTTGGCTCCCCCGCCTGGGGGGGGGGGGTCCCCGCCGGGGGGCCGCGTGCTGCGCTGCACCTCCCCCTCCCCCCCGCGCAGCCCCGCACGTGAGGGGTGAGGGCGCGCGGCGGGCGGAGGTGACCTCGGGTCACCCTGGCCCGGCCGCCGCTCGCGCCGTGCGGCTCCGCGAGGCGGTGTCCTGAGGTGACACCGGCTGCGCGGCAGCGGCAGCAGGCGCCGCCGATCAACTAGTTCGCACGGAGGATTCCTCTTGGTGCGTGGCCCAGTTTTCCTGAGGACGGGCTCCAACCCCCTCGCTGACACCGCCCCCCCGCGCCGCCGCGCTCCAAGGCCTTCCCTGGGGAAGCCTCGCGTCCCTCCCCCGCCGCTCGGCTCCACTCGGCTCGGCCCGGCCCGGCCCGGCGCGCGCGCGATTCCTCGATTCCACAGGCGGTTCGCGCCGCGGGTGGGGGCGGGGCGCGCGGGGAGGGGGGCCGGGCCCGGCGTGGGGAGTTCCTCGCTCGTGGACCACGCGCTCCGCCGAGCCGTTCCGGAGCCAGCCCCTAGCTGTGTCTGTCGCACGCGGGACACGTCCTAGCATTTGTTGGCAGGGCCGGTGAGGAGAGGGGGGGAGAGGGGGAGGAGGGGGAAGAAGTGGAGGGAGGGGAGTTGAGTGACAGGCTTACGGGGCAGGCTGGGAATTGTAGTTCCTCGATCCCGTGGCCATAGCCATTTTGTAGTCGGGGGACTACAACTTCCAGAAGATCAAGGGGACGATTCTAAGGTGCCCCGGGAATAGGCGGCTTTCCCCGGGGCCGGGCGTCCCGGCGCACTCGCACCCAGAAGCCGGCTGCAGGTAGACGTGAGGGCAGTGGCGGGGGGAGGGCTCGCCTCTAGCGGCTGTGGAGTGAGCGGCAAGCTGGGGGAAAGGGGGTGAGGTGGAGCGACCGAGCGTGCCGTGCATGGAGCTAGGGAGCCTCGCTCAATTCCACTCCCAGGCTCGGCGTGGGAGAGATGCCTGCGGGGGTTGCCCGGGAAGGGTTCCCCGGGGCCTTTCGGGGGTCTCCGGGCGACGGGGCTGCGGGGCCCTCCCGGCTGGGCCGGCGGCGGCGGGCGCCGGGGCGGGCGGGAGCCCGGCGGCTGGGCGGTGGGAGTTTTCGGCTGGCGCCCGGCGGGGAATTAGCCGAGGAGCCCTAAGTTGTATAAAAGCAGAGTCCATTTAAAGTTGGGCTGGATCGCCTGCCTCTCATTGGCTGGGGGGCTTGGAAAAAAGAGACTCGGCGAGCTCTCGCTGTGGTGCTGCCGCCGCCGCTGGAGTTGACTCTTCTGCTCGCACTGCTGCTGCAGCACAAACGTGACTTCCAACATTTATTTATCTTTCCCTTTTCTCTTCCAAGATGTAACTACAGATCAGACACTAAGGACCTTCACGTTTTCGCTGATGTAGTTTTTGGAGGAAAAACGGGGGGGCAGTGAAGGGCGTCGGTTTCTTTTTCTTTTTTTTTTTCTTTTTTTTTTTTTTGTGTGTGTGTGTTTCGGGGGAAATTTTCCATTATGGGTGTTTTACTAAAGTGAATTTTTTGTTTGTTTTGTTTGTTTGCTTCGTTCGTCTTTGGCTCTTTTTTTTTTTTTCCTTCCCAATTTCGGATTTATTTCAAGGCGAATCGGGCTTTGGTGGAAGAGGAAGAAAAGTCGGATTACAAGAACAACCACCAACAACAATAAAAACCACCAGGATATTTTTTTGCAAATTTCTGACGGCTTTAAATTCATGAAGCAATTGTCCCCCTTTGCAATCAGCATTTGGATCTCAGAATGAGCAAGGAAAGACCCAAGAGGAATATCATTCAGAAGAAATACGTAAGTGCTCCTAACAACATATCTTTTGACTTGCAGTTTTAAGCAATGGCTGTGAATGTCAAGTTTATAGATAATTCTGCAGCCGAAGGGTTTTAAACACAGCGTCCGATGAGGCTGTTTCTTTTCTTTTCTGAAAGAGGGCTTTTCAAGAAAGTCGTGCCTGCCTAGTTTTGATGAAAAAACATATTGGTGTAGAGATACTTCAAGTGAATACATTGACCTCGCATGACACAACCATAATCTAGTTTTAGATGAAAGGCAAGGGATTTTGGTGGAGCTTGGGAGTAGGGTGGGGGCTGTGGTACTGTAACTAAACTGCATTCTCGGGCAGGTTTGCCCCCATATTGCACTTTGCATGCAAAGAAGTGTGTATTATTATTAATGTGTTTCGAAATGGTGTACCGTGTGTGTTGGAAGCCCTTTAAGTTGCAGCCGAGTGTCCGATTATGGCGATCTTGTTCCTTGCACTGGCACATCAAATTTAATCTATGTGGTCGTTTTGGCTTATCTGGCTCAGCATAAACCAGTTGGGAATCATGTTACAGCGAATGCATTTGTTGGGGTTGACTTTAAAAATGGGACTGGTTTTGTTTAAAAATTCAATGATTTCCAGTTTTAGGGGAAAAAGACATTCAGTATAGCTAATGTTTTTAAGTAGGCATGTGAATGCCTATGTAACTATAAATAATTCTCCCTGTTAACTGGTTTCTGAAATTGGGTGATTATTCAGAGATTTAAATGTTTTGGAATAGTTAAATTTGTATTATACATTGTACAGCTAGGTTTTGATTGGCATGGGGGCTGTTTGTTTTGTGTGTGGTTGCCTTTTTTTAAGTTTGGGGGGGTGGGATAAGGAGGGTGGAAGGGGGACCGAGAGGGATTAAACAAATATGCACTCGAGTGATTGGTGATTAGCTGCGTGCTTTAAATCAAAGAACCCATTTTTAAAAGGCTAAATGGACATACATTAGAAATAACGCAACATTATAAGAAAGTTTTGTTTGACTCGAGTCGACAAATTGGTGTTAATATTTTCCCCTTTTGAGCAGTGTGATGTGTGTAATGGGAGATGACCTTCGGGCACTGGTTTTGTAAATATATTTAAAAGCTGAATGCCTTATTGAGAGTGCCGATCGTAATGTAGACACGTAAACTTCAACTAAGAAAGAAATGCAAGGTTAAATAATCAAGCCCTACTAAAACAACTGTTCCCTTAAAAATGTAAGAATTAAAATACATCCGCATTGCAGAGGGCCGGGTAGAATGCAAAGGACTAGTTTAGATTCAGGCTGTGGAAACTGCATGGAGGCACCCCTGCTTTGGAGCATGGACGTTTTCCCAGGGCTCGTCCGATGTGGGTGCAGCGACAAAGCAAATGGGGTAGAACTTGGACTAGGACCGCCCCTCCGCCCCGTCCCAGACCTCGCTAAGTTGGAGAGCTGTGTGGGGTGGGATTTTTTGTTGCTGGTGGCCAGCGGATCGTGTCGAGTCCGGGCGACCGGCCGCCAGCTCCTGGCTGGCTGCGGCCGCGGGAGGCGAGCACGAGTGTAGGTTCGGGGGGCAGAGCCCGGGGCCGGACGGGCTCCAGACGGTGCGAAGCGGAGGGCGTGTTGGGGTCGCGCCGGGCCGGGTGGGGCGCCGCGCGCGGCCTGTAGGGGGCGGGCTCGGGGCTCGGAGCTCGGGGCTCCTGGTGGCTCGGGGCTGCGGCCCTGGCCGGCCGGCGGGCGGGGCGCGGGGCCCGGCGTGGGGTGGGGGGGAGGAGCGGGGGAGCAGCGGCCGCGGGCGGGGCGGGGGCGGCCGGGAGGCGGGGGCGCACGGCTGCAGGAGCGCCCCCCCACGGCGCGCGGCGGAGCCTGGTGGCGGCGGCCCCGCGACTCCCCGCGGCCCTGCTCCGGCGCGGTCCTGAGAGCAACAGGTTAAGCCGGTGAGACGTCAGCGGCCCCCTCCCTGTCCCCCTGCCTCCCCCCGCATCGCACCGGCCCCCTGCCTCCCTCCGCCCCCTGCCGCCGCCGATTCCCGGACGCTCCTAGCCGCAGTCTGCTGTCGTGACGTCACAAAGGGACGGGCCGGGTGGAACCTCTTCTTCCTCCGTGACGTCAAAAGTCGGGTGGGAGGTTCCAGCGAGATGGGGCTGCGGGGAACGGGGGCCGCGGGCCGCGGCCGAGCGGGGCTGCCACCCAGGAGGAGGAGGACGAGGAGGCGGGCGTGCTCGGCCTCCGCCTGCCGCCTCAGACGCCGCGCTGCCCTTCAGGTGAGCGTTGGAGCCCGTCGTCCCCAGATTACTGCCCCCGCCTACCTGGGATGCTGATCCGATGTAGAGGCGGAGAGCAGGGAGGAGATGGCTCCTTTCTGGATGAATGTTTCGTCTTCTCTGTTAGCAGGTCTTCTGATGGTGTGGCATTGCGCATGCAACTGTGGTAATGGGATCTGCTCATTAATGCTTTAAATAAGCAAGGGAGCCTAATTCAGGGAAAGCTTTGCTACATTTGTAGGAGGACCGTGTTTGTATTCAGCCACCTTGTCGTATTTGGCGTGTCTTCACTGAATGTGGTGGGATGCCTTTCTGGGTGATGCTGCACAGCAGCAGCTGTTGCTCTTTCTGGAAGCCTTACGATACCGTTGGGGGAGAGGCCTCTGCTGTGCCAGCTCTGCCTATTGAGTATTTTTTAGGGGGCCAAATGAGGGAAGACTTGTCATTCATACTGTATGCTTGGAAGGCAACTGGGTTCTTAAGTCTTAAGGTGTTCTGGGTTCTTCTGAACCAGAAGAGAAGAGGCCCCCCAGTCTTGAGTATTTTCTTTTCTGTAAAATAGAGAAATTAATACCTGTCTTTTGCACTTTACTTTCTCTGAGATGTGAGATGATGGGCATGCAAGATAAAAAACAATATGCTCTTTCTTTATAATGTGGCATTATTACTCGAGCTGGTGGAAGGCAACACATTTCCTGCAGTTGGTTTCAAAAGCCTTAGATGCCTGCTGTGTTGCCATTTAGTTTATTGCCTTAGCAGAGCAAAGTTTGGGGATGGGATTGTAGGTGGCAGACTTTGGGAGAAATGATTGTTATATTTCATATTAAATGACATCTTTCAGAAACTCATAAATTGCAGTGTAACCCTCTCTTAATTGTGCTGGGCACAACTTCCACTGCAATACCTTAGATAACCAAAAACATTTGCCTATCAAAGCCCCAGTCCTCTTGGACAATAAAAACAGTTGCAAGTTTTGCTCTATAGGTATTTTCTGCTCATCATTTCAGTAGTTGGCTATTCCTAGGATGAATATATATAATCTCTAATATGCAAATAGACCGAACAGCAGAACAATCAACCAACCAACCAACCAACCAACCAACCAACCAACCAACCGAGTTGCTATGATGTATGCTGACCACCAGGGGGCATACATGGAACATGGCAGGCATTGGAAGCCGGTGGTGGAACATGGAGCATGACGGGTGTTGGCCATGGCAGATTGGTGGAGCAAGAAGTGGGTATGGCCAAAACCAGTTTGGCTCAGTGGATAGAGTGTTGGCCTGAGGACTGAAGGATCCCAGGTTCCATTTCGGTCAAGGGCATGTATCTTGGTTGCGGGCACATCTCCAGTGCGGGGTGTGCAAGAGGCAGCTGACCGATGATTCTCTCTCATCGATGTTTCTAACTCTCTATCCCTCTCTTCCTTTCCGTAAAAAAATCAATAAAATATATTAAAAAAAAAGAAAAAAAGAAGTTGGTATGCCAGACCAAGGTGGGGCACCAGTCACTGTCATTGGGCGAGCCTCTGGTGGCTACTGAAAATTCTTTGCTCCCATGCCCTGTGGTCCCGCCCTGCTTGCACCTTCTGCTGACACTCCCCCCCCCCCCCCCCCCCCCCAAAGCTGGCCGCAGTAGCTCGGTGCTGTCAGTATAATAAATACCACATATGGGTACGCACATACGATGGAAGAGCCACACTCAAGGGGCCTAAGAGCTACATGTGGCTCGTGAGCCGCGGTTTGCCAACCACTGCATGAGGCCATAAGTTAACTATCTAATTTTCTGATTTAAAAGTGCAGTATGACTTAAAATCTGGGAAAAATTTGTTATAAAACTCAATAGCAGGATTTATTATAATAACAATTACATAAAATTATAAAGAAAAAAGAAATACCCAAAGTATAATGGTAGGATTTATAAGCCTTTCCTCCCCCCACCTTGTTTTACATTCAACCAGGTTTTTTTTTGTAGTTCTGGGGGCCAACAACTTGTACATATTATTTAATTGCTGTGTTTTTCCTTTCATGAGCTATTCATGTAAATTTTCTCTTTGTCAGATAAGTCTAGGGCTAAGGAACTTAGCAGCTATGATTAAGGAATGAATACTGTAAGGATAAAGAGTCCAAAGTGTGTTTCTGCAATTTGAAAGAAAAATAAGTTATGTCCAAATATAACCCAATTTCAGTTATTATCTGGGCTATTATTTTACTGTAGAGAAGTATCTCTGACTTGTGTATCCCATATAGTCATTGGCTCAACTAGCCAACTAGAAATAATTTGGTAATGGCTGTTTCTTCTCACATAGTTGGTTAAACCAGTTCCTGTTGCTGGGCTGAGGGCTACTGACTCACTTCCAAGTGCCTTAGAGATAACTCCCGTGTAATCTTGTATATTCCCTGCTCCAAAGGTTATTTTATTTTTTAAAATACATTTTTATTGATTTTAGAAAAAGAAAGGGAGAGAAATATCGATGAAAGGGATATATAGATCGGCTGTCTCCTGCACACCCACCAGTAGGGATCAAGCCTGAAACCTGGGCATTGTGCTCTGTCCAGGAATTGAACCGGTAACCTCTTGGTGCATGGGATGATGCTTTACCAACTGAGCCACACCGGCCAGGGCCTGAAGATTATCTTAAATTTCCTTTCTTCAGAAAGAGAGAATCTTTTGAAGTATATTATAGTGTCTGTTACATTTAAAATAGAACTTTTTTCTTCCTTTCAAAGATGATATGGGAAAGTCATAT